CACAGTGGACCATGGTTTGAGTCCTAGACCTAGTGACTTAAAACTCATGCTGGGCGTGTGTGCATGCATGCCCAAAATCCTGACAGGAGATTGGAGGAGACTGGTGCCCATCCGCCGTGGGAAATGATTTCTCGCTGGATTCTCTCTCTGTCTTTGCAGCAAGCACACGTGCCCTATAGCAAAAATCTCTCTTAAAAAAAAAGAAAAAGAACAAATTGTATGTGGGCTTCATGTGTGTGTGTGTGTGTGTGCCCGCACGCGTGAGTGTGTGTATACATAAGTTTACTAAACGATGGTACAAGTTGTTGTGGCCTGAATGTTGGTATTCTCTCCACATTTATACACTGGCTCTAATACTCAGTATAACAGTATTCAGAGGTGGGACCTTTTGGAAAGTGATTTAGTTAGGAGGGCCCGCTTTTACTGCTTTTATGAAGAGGTGGATGGGTTTTCCTTGACCCTTCACCGTGTGGGGACACCGTGACAGCGGCTCACCTTTGAGGCAGAGGCCGGCCTGAGTCAGACGTGAACCGTGGCACCTGGTCCTTGGACTTCCCAGTCTTCTGAACTGTGAGTAATCCATGCCTGTTCTTGATGAGCTGCCCAGTTTAACGTTTTGATGTAGTTTGTTGTGGCAGGAAGAGTGGACGAAGACATAGGCAAGCCGTTCGGCATGGCTGGAAGGACGTCGTGTCTTTGTGTGAAGGTGGAGGGGGTAAGGAGGTCTGGGCCGTGAAGGAGGCTAACGACCACACAGAGCAAATCGCATTTCTCTGTGTAGTTTCTAGGGAAGCGGTAATAATTTTGATATGTATCTAATAATAATTACATAAGAGGTATGTTATTTACCTAGTCCTCCAATTCCAGCATCGCCCACGGCCACGTTTTCACGGACAGACTGAGGAGTCAGCTCTGGTTAACACCGACACCCGGACTGCGGACAGCGCAGGCTCCCACCACTCTCCCTCGGGTTCGTTTTCTGCCCCAGGACATCAGACTGCAGTCTCGCCGCATCCTCGGGTCTCCCTAGCGTTCTGTAATCTAGGACAGGGTCTCACCCTCCCTGTCTTTCCTGACCTTCATGTCTGAAAAGAACCGGGCAGGTGTTTCGTGTCTTGCAGCAGCAGTTCCTCAGTTCCGGCTTGTCCAGAGTTTCCTCATGATTGAATCTGGGTTATGACTTTTCCCCAAGGATCCTATGGAAGTGATTCGCCCTTCTTGGTGCATTGAATCAGGGGTACTTGATGTTGATCTGATTGTTCCTGGGGAGGTTCACCTCGGTCACTTGGCTGTGGTAGTGTATGCCAGGGTTATCCACTGCAAAGTTCTTCCCTTGGCGATTATTAAACACTTCAGGGGGACGCACTTGTCCTGTTTCTCCATAATTTTTTGCACACTAGTTTTAGCATTTATCTGTGGATCTTACCTGCGGCCTTTGCTACTCTGGCCTTCTGTTTTTATGATTTCTTCTCTGATTATTAATTGGTGTTATTCTGCAAGAAGAGTCACGGACTTATTTTGAAGAACGGCAGGATTACTCTGATGTTAATGTGCATGAGAGCTTAGGAGGAAGCCAGGTTGGAGGCAGAGAGACAACACACTAGGAGACTTTCTAAATCATTTCAGAGAGATAATAAGGGCCTGAACTCAGAGAGACTATTAATAAGAAATATTAAAGAGGTAGAATAGGGACCAGCAGAAGGTGTAAGGGTTACGTAGCTGGACTCCCATATAGTCGACTGCGGTTTGAGTCCCAACCTGGTGGCTTAAAACTCATGCCAGGTGCATGTGTGTGCCCAAAATCCCAAGAGGAGAATGGAGGAGAAGGGATTGAGCATGGCCACCCCCCTGGGGGGACATCACCTTCCCTCTTGCTGTCTCACTGTCTCACTGTCTCACTGTCTCTCTCCAGTGAGTCCACGTACCCTGTAGCAAAAACCTAAACAAATAACCATGTTATGGCATAGTTTTGCATAGGAACGCATAGAAAATACGTCATGAAGTTCCCGACAGCACACACACATGTACCTACAGCAGAAGGAAGGCCGCACAGGGCCGGAATGGAGCCCAGTTTAGAAAGCCTCATGGAGTAGGGAGTATTCTCCGGCCTCCAGAGTTACAGAGAAGTGAAGACAGGGAGGGACCAAGACAGGGTGACAACGGTGACTCCCTCGTGTCTTCAGAGCGATTCCTGTGTCGGCCGAGGGCAGGCCCTGAAGATTCCCGTGGAAAGTGAAGAAGGTAAAGATGCGTGAAGACAGTGCTTCCAGTGGGTTGAAGGGTCTGCGGAAAACAGGGCGGCGTGGGGGAGGCCTGAGTTAGGATCCCGGGTACACGCGCGCACGGCGGCTGCGAGCAGGTTCGGCCGTGAGTAAGGGCAGTGTCTGCTCTTCACACGTCAGAGCAGGTAGGCCCCCTTACCCTCCAAGTGCTCTTTACGGGATCGTTGGGGATGTCATGGCATAAGTTTTGCATGGAAACGCATAGAAAATTCGTCATGACGTTCCCGACAGCACACGCACATGAAGGTCCCTGGCAGTGCTCGCAATCACGCAGCATCCCGCTGCTGTCACTGTGAGTCACCCACAGGGTCCCATCGTGATGTACCGTCTTGGTTTAGTGGGCGAGGATGGAGCTGTGGCCTGGTCTCAGCGTGCTCACTGGATGGGCCAGCTCCTGAGTGCCCTTGGTCCCACCTTTCGCATGCTTCATCCTCAGCTTAGCGGGGAGCACGGGAAGGGGACAGGATGGCTCAGTGCACGGTGGCCCCACGGGGACGCAGCCCCAGGCAGGTGCCTGGTCACAGAGGAGCAAGGGACTCGTCCTCGTACACTCAGCACGGAGGTCCATTTTCCTCGGGAACTGCGTCCTGCCTTTCTTCCAGCTGGGAAGAAGCTTATTTGCCTCCAGAACATCCTTCGAGCATGAAAAAGGAAGCCTGGACTATCTATCACTTGCGCTAACAGTACAATATATTCTGGAAGCTGAGATTGGCCTTGTAACTGTTACATTTATAAGGGATTTTATTTATTATAAAAACAAGGCAATCATTTAAGAGAAAGTTACAAAACAGAAAATAAAACCCTCTCTAATGCCATTAACAAGTTACTCTCCTTTTTGAGTAGGCCTTATTTCTCTGTACATGCATTCATATTTTTACATAATTACCACCGCAGGGACGCATGGGTCCAGCCACAGCTTTCTACATGACTTGAGAGCATTTTTCTGAGTTGCAACGTGGTCATAATTATCCTACTCGGTGACCGTATAATATTCTGCGGAGTGGATGTGCCGTAAGTGACTTAAGCACTCCTCTGCCGCGGGGCGCCTGGTCTGCTTCCCATCCGTCACTGTCATCAGGAAGGCTGTGTGGAAAACGCATGCTGTTGCCCCCTTCAGTTCGCATTATTTTGTTAGATGTATTTTCAAAAATGAGGTTACTAAATTAGAGGGGCGAACATTGAAGCTCTTTGTAAGTTTTCATGTGACCTTTACAAGGGTTGGCTGATTATGATGTCACCAACTAAGTTTCGCCAAGTGGGCGGGGATCCAAGAGACAGAGTGAGGTTAGGGAATGTGTCTCCAGTGTGGGAAGAAGGGAGGGCAGTGTGAGCTCTGTCTAGGGATATGCTGACAGCAAAATTGAGTGAAGCTGAAATTCTGCTGTGAAATACAGTCCAGAGGTGAAATCTAACTAGAGGGACAAACGGAAACTTAAAGTCAAAGAAGAGTCAACAGTTTGATAGACACTCAGAAACGGTGGGAACAGGGAAGCCGAGAGGGTCTGAAGTTCGAGGCAGTTTCAGCCAATCAAGTTCAACGTGGGATTGGTTACAGGCTGTGCGTGTGAGACTGACACGCTTGGGGTGTTTCCCGTGCCTGACAGTAATGACAACAAATTTCGTTTCCACTCTGTTGGACGCTGTCTTATGCTTTTCACGGCCTCTCTGCTAATGCGTGTGATAATATGAATGGTGTCAAGAGGACGCCAAGGCTTAGATACCAGTGGTCGAGTGACTTTCTGCAGTCACCGTGGTCGACAGTGGAGCTGAGATTCAAATCCAGGTGATTTGAACCCCGAGCTCTGCCCCCGAGCTCCGCTCTGCTGGCGTTTCTCATTCGTGACTACAGCATGGGTGGACATACACCCCCTTTCTCCTTTTAACGGCTATTTCTTTTGTTTCTAGTCTTGTTTAATATTTGAGAAAGACATTTTTAATATACATTTTGGGGCATGGGTGATAAGATCATTCATGCAGTTGAAAAATGTACCCGCAGACAAGGTAGTGACTTTATTTGAAATTAGTGTCGGGTGGAGCCAGTGGCTGGCATGGTGGGTAAGGCACTGGATGTCCACATGGCTGACCTTGGCTTGCTCACTGCGGACCTGGTGGCTCACAAATCACGCTGGGTGTGTGTTTGTGTGTGCCCAAAGTCCTGAGAGGAGAACGAGGACAAGGGGTCCCCTTGCCGCCCCGGGTGGTGATTTTTCACTCTCCCTCTCTGTCTCTCTCTAGTGAACACATGTACCCCTCTGGCAAAAAAACAAAAATAAAAACAAAAAAACCCAAATAAACCCAAAAAACAAACTTAGCTCAGGGTGCATAAAACTGAGCGAAGGCTTTCAGTTTTAAAACTCAAGCATGTTGCCTGGCACGCCTCGCGTTAGGACGCCTCACTTACTGTAAATATCCCATCTTTAGAAGTAAGAAAACAGGGCTTATCGTTCCCACGTGCTGGCCACAGAAGCAGATCCCCCAGACTTGACCAGTCACAGATAACGGTGCATACAGCTTGCCCGCGCAGAGTGCTGGGCCTGGGTCAGGCCCTCTGAGGCAGGCCGTGTCTGCTTTGTGTAACTCCCCTCCCCCGAAACCTCCGGCCTGTCTGGTTTCTAACCTATTGTCACAGAAGGAAGGTACTTGAGTGGCTTAGATAGCCTGGGTTTGACGCCTTATGATTTTTCCTTTTTTTTTTTTCTCTTTTTATTTTGCTTATAGGGGCACACGTTTGCAAGAGAGCACGAGCGAGAGCGGGGGATGGCCATGCCGCTGTCCCTTCTCCACTCTCTGTGGATTTAGGGCATGCGGGCGTCTGGTGTTGAGTCTGGAAATCAAACGCACAGCTGGCCACGTGGCGCTCAGCTGCCTTCACCACCGTGCCACCTGGTGGGCTGATTTTACTTTTTCATCAAGAGCTTTTCTTCATGAGCTTTTCTTTCCTAGGTTAACACTGAAAGGACCTCTGCTTTGTCTTCTACATAGGGAGGACTTGGACACCTTGAAAACCAGTGACTTTTCTGAGACATATTATGGAATGAGGGTGTGAGGACAACGGCCCTCCCGAAGTCTGGAACTACAGGTTCTACGAGAGCAGCTGAGAGCTACTTACCTGCACCTGGGCCCGCTGGAGCCAGACCTCGCAGGAACGCTTTGGTGGTAATTCTGGCACCGTGCTGAGGTTGAGCGGGGCTGGCAGGAAGGGAGAGCACCCGGGGAGTGTGGTCTGGGGAGAGTGGCAGGGCTGCGGGGGTCTCTGAGAGCCTTTCCAGGTTCTCACGGTGAACATCTGAGAGAGACCCCTGGCTCTGGCAGGGGGAGTAATCGTTGGGAAATATGCCTCTAGTTTTCATGAACTAATGCCTACTCTCCAGAGGTGAGGTTTGCCAGGGCCTTGCTGCACCCAGAGGAAGCACATTCCTCCCACTCCAGCCTGCTCTAGCCTTCCTTTTATTTTTATTTTTTATTTTTGGAAAGGTTTTTCTGTAGGGCGTGTGCGCTCACCAGAAAGAGAGAGACAGAGAGACAGAAAGACAGAAAGGGAGAAATCACCCCCACCGGGGGGATGGTCATGCCACAATCCCTTCTCCTCCATTCTCCTTTTGGGATCTTAGGCACGCACGCACACGCACCCAGCATGAGTTTAAGCCACCGGGTCCGGGACTCAAACCGCGGTCGACTACATGGGAGTCCAGTGACATAGCCATTATGCTAGCTGCTAGTCCCATGGACAGCATATTTATTAACTTCTTTGTGCCTTCCAGGTGTTCACCTTCTTGCACACACGAGTCTGTAATCGGCGGAACTCCAAACTATTTGGGTTGTCAGCTTTTACCCACACTTTGCAGGTTCCTGCTAAGAACACTGCATTGGCTTTTCAGGACGTGGCCGTGTGCTTTATTTCCTCTATGGGAAGACCCAGGTAAAGTTTAGATTACAGTTATCCTTTTGGGATCTTAGGCACGCACGCACACGCACCCAGCATGAGTTTAAGCCACCGGGTCCGGGACTCAAACCGCGGTCGACTACATGGGAGTCCAGTGACATAGCCATTATGCTAGCTGCTAGTCCCATGGACAGCATATTTATTAACTTCTTTGTGCCTTCCAGGTGTTCACCTTCTTGCACACACGAGTCTGTAATCGGCGGAACTCCAAACTATTTGGGTTGTCAGCTTTTACCCACACTTTGCAGGTTCCTGCTAAGAACACTGCATTGGCTTTTCAGGACGTGGCCGTGTGCTTTATTTCCTCTATGGGAAGACCCAGGTAAAGTTTAGATTACAGTTAATTGATAGAGGCCAAAGAGGAAGATAGAAAAATTTAATTAGTTCTCCTGCAAAGCAATGTGTGTTAATCTGGCTTCCCACACTAGAGACCCACATATCTTAACTTAAGGTGCACACGGAACGTTCTGTTTAAACACCCAGGGCCTGAGTCATTCTCCCAGCTTATTTTCTGTCTAGACAGAGAAGAGAATCAAATCCCTTTTTAAATTATGAAATTGTTCTGTGATTAGATCTCATGGCTGTCTCCCGTGGCATGCACTCAACTTCAGTTATCACCTGCTAGTGCTGATGATCCAGTACAGAGCGGATGCCTGGCAGCCCCTGTCCCACACCACGGCCCCCTCACGCTGCAGGCACCTGTGTTCCTCTGTCTTCAGTATTTCTCGGAAGTGCAAGGAACTCCCTCAGCCCTCCTGCCCTGAGCGAGGGGGAGTTCAGTGGCTGCAGGGCAGGACCTGGGGGTGCATGCCCCAGCCCCCTGCCTGGACAGAGGATCCCAAGCTTTGGTCCTGCTCAGCTCCTGGAAGGACAGCCTGCGGTTGCCGCCTGAGCTTCCCTCATTGTTCCTCTGCCCTGTCTCGGTGCACCCTCTTCCCTCTCCCAGCTTCCTGAGGATGCCTCGTACAAACTCCCAGCTCTGGTCTGTCCTGCGGCTAATAACAGGAAATGCTTGTCTGGACAATTTTAGAGAATAGAGGTTTTTCTCCTCATAATTCAAAGGTCCAAGGTCCAGGGGCCCCTCCCGGGGGCTCTTCTGGCCACATGATGGCGTGGCGGAGGGCAGGGGTCCGTGTCTGTGTCTATGCCAGCCTCACTCCCTACCTGGGAACCCGTCAGGTGCCAATCTGCCCCCACCCAGGGCCTCAGTCCTCCTCCTCCCCGTGGTCAGGTTAAGTTTTCGCCCTCGTCAGTCCAGCACATCCACATTTCAGCACAGAGTTTTGGGGGACATTCACCCATGGTATTACCAGAGCTTACGTCCCTGCCTCAGGCCCCACTTCTGGGAACTCCAACGAAGTGCAGGACATTGGAGGGTTGTACAGACTAACCTTTGACATAAGCGGAGTACAGCTAGATTGGACGCATATGGCTCTTCACCCAACAAACCTGCTGTGTGCTGGGCAAGACTTTGGGGAGTTTGCGAAATGGGATCTGCCCTCACGAACCTCTCATGTGTCTTTCCTTCTTTTAAAAACAATTTGCTGGAGGGGAACCAGCAGTTAGCGTAATGGCTATGTCGCTGGACTCCCACGTAGTCGACCACGGTTCGTGTCCTGGACCCGGTGGCTTAAAAACTCACGCCGGGCGTGTGTGTGTGCGTGCCCAAGATCCTGAGAGGAGAATGGAGGAGAAGGGATTGCGGCGTGACCATCCCCCCTGGGGGGTGATTTCTCGCTTTCTGTCTCTATGTCTCTCTCTGTCTGGCGAGCGCACGCGCCCTACAGTGAAAATCTCTCCAAAAAAAACAAAAACAAAAACAAAACAAAAACAAGAAAACAATTTGCTGGAGGATGTAGGCCCTTGCTGGACAGAGGACAGTGAGGAATCACCCACGTGGGGGCGGTCATGCTGCGGTCCCCGCTTCCATTTCTCCTGTTGGGAGTCTGGGCGCATGCACACGTGAACTTGGTGTGTTCCCCAAGTCACTGGGTCTGGGACTCAGACCACGGAGTCAGCAATGTGAGATCCGGTCACTTTAAGCCCCAGGCCACAGGCTGGCCCCACGTCTCTCTTCTAAGTCTCCAGACAGCCATAGGAGTTGATGTCACTTTACCCCTCTCACAAAGATCCTCAGCGAGTTCAGCGATATAAATATAAAACCGTTTTGCATGTTGGTTTGCAGTTGGAGCAACGACTTAGCTGCTGCAGAGATAAGGCTGGACAAAAGGGTTACTGGTCTTCAAGTCCAGAGACCGCTCCTCTAGGAGCTTTGACTTTGAGGAGTTCCTTTTTTTCCTTTTTTTTTTTTTTTTTGTG